TTTGGGACGAGTTCGGGTAGTGATTTCACTTATCGTATCAAGTTCGGGTAGAGTTCAAGTACTACCCCTTGAATTGCTTGAGAAAAACTAAGGATGTATTTTTTATTTTTGGAGAAATTAACAAAATTCATAACATGCATGGTTGTAGTGATGCAATCCTCTAAACGAACAAGATAGGAGTAAAATCGCATAGTCATACATGATTACTCATAATAGCAAAATGGTCAAGTAGAAAGGTTCCAAACATGAGATGACCATCGTTTCTATAACTAAAGGCTGAATACATCTCTATGTCTAAGTTAGCATGATAGATTGTTTGGATCTAGAAATTCATAATAGAATTTGTGGTGGTTTGTAGCATTGCTAATCCAATAACATTGTATTGTGATAACAATAGAACCATTGCATAAGGAAATGAGCCAAGGTTTTATAAAAAATCCAAGTATGTATTAAAGCAATATCACTTGATTAAGGAGATTATACAAAGGAGTGATATAAAGATTGAAAATGTTCCCACCGATGAAAATTTAGCAGATTTATTCAATAAGCCTCTACCCTAACAGCAACATCATTATCATATGGAAGATATTAGATACATAAGTGATTGACTTTAGTGCAATTCAGGAGATTGATAGTGTAGTTATATACCTTACAAGCCAATCAGTCGGTTATACAGAGATACATATTGTATTTAAGTATTTATTATTAAATAACAAGACATTCTTTATTTCGAAGAGACCTATAAATGTCTATTAGTTAAAATAAAATCCGTTAAAAACTATGCTTTGTAAAAAAGATATTATAAAGGGTTATAATTATGAGAATCTTATTGTATCAAAATATTATTCCTAAATTGTTCCTAATCAAAAGTTTTATGAAGAAAAATGGATATTGATAAAATATAAAGATCAACACATGATTATGCAATTAGCATAAAGGTTATGCCAAGTCATCCAAGGATTAGGATTAATTTAGCCTATAAATTCGAGGCTTATGTTGCACATTGAAGGGAACAACCAACACCACTAAATTACTAGAAACCATCCACAAAATTCTAAGATGCTTGTGAAAATATTTAGAAAGAGTTCCAAATCCTGTGCTTTGATTTTGTTTCTTCTAAACCATATGAGCCACTGATTCTTCTTTCCAAATCAATTTGACCATTGTTTCTTCTTTTCTTGAATGTGACTCTTGGGATTATATTCATTGGTTGAGATTTAGGTAATGGTTGTTTGAAATCTTGTGGTTCAACTAGGAAGAAGGAAACCTTAAGAATCGTACCTATACCAAAAAGTTAGACTCTTTATCATCAATTGGTGTTCCTAGATGTAATTGTGTCTTGGTTTGGTGAAAAAAAAAGTTTTGATTGCCTCTTCCTTAGCTAGCATTAGGTTCTGCAAGTATAAACAACTTCAATGTCCTTTGGAGTTATTCCTAATTATGATTCATATGGATCACCATTTAGAGGTTATACACTAAAACAACTTGTAGTTTGTAACAACCCAACTTGGTACAGAGGATTGAAATTATGCTGAATTCTTGTGATTTCAACTCTAAAGACATTAGGTATAATGATTTTTATCCTTTAGTTAAGGTTTACTGGCTAAATAACCAAAGTACGATTCTATACAAAGGAAAAATTTTAGATTTTCTTTGTGTATACAATATGATTGCATGCCTTTTCTCTTTTCTCCAACATAAAGCTCAATTTAAGCTTCAAAATCCTTTGATTTTAGTCTTTTAACACCATGAAACTGATCTGAAATGAATTTAACTTTATTCTCCTATGTTCATTCAAATTAAAACACATGAATTGGATTGATTTCAAGACAAATTTAAAGCCCAAACTTGCGGGTTTGAAAGTCCTAAAATTGCTACGCTGAATTTGATAAAATCCACGGATTAAATCAAGCTTTATGGTCTCATTAATAAATCTTTAGTGATCAAGGAACAATAATCCTAAGGTAATTTAACAAAAATTACATAAAATCAAGTTGTTCTTCACTTAAAATTGTTAAAACTCGTGACCCTGGAAAAACCCAATTTCTTAAACACTATTTTATTTAATAACAAAGATATACATTGACCAAACAACCATATGATCGATAATATGTCATCAATTAAGTATACCCAGGATTTAATTACATGATTCATAAGGGAATTACGAATTTTTAATGGTGTAATTATACAAATTTTAAAAAACAAGACCTAATATGCAATCTTAATTAATTCACGTAATTAACATATATCAAAATTTAATTATAGTTTTCTAAGATTCTAAATTCAAACTATGATTGCTTTGATATCAATTGTTAAACTTTATATATAATTAATTTATAGCTATAATATCTAAAACAATTTTTAAACTATTTAAGAAAATTCAAATAAGCACTTATTTTATTGTTATGGCCAATCAAGTTTTTACACTTTTATTTTGAGTCAAATAAGCTCTTATAACTAATGATTGATTAATTGTTATTGATCAAAAATCACTTTTCATTCTATGCCACATAACGCTGATGTAGTATGATGACATTTTATAATGGATGATAATATAAAATATTGATGTGGCATTATAACATAACCATATGATATTTTCATTCTCTACATCAATGTCATGATAGCACAATATGAGTATAAAATGATAAACGATATTTTCACTAATCATAATTAATTAATAGTTAGTCATAAAAATCTGTTTGACCTAAAACAAAAATATTATGACTTGATTGAATGTAATAGAAGAAAAATGACTTATTATTTAAAATTTTTTGAATAATTCAAAGACTTTTTCAAATATTATGCCTAATTTGTACTTAAACTAGTATTCACCATACTAAGAATTTAGAACAAAAAAATAAATATGATTCTTAATCCATGATTTGACAACAAAAATAGTATTAGTCGAATTATCTTTTGAAATTCTATGTATTAAGATTTTTCTCCTTGTTAATCTACATTACTTTCATCAATCTCAACACATTATTGTTTTGGTTTCATCACTACCAATCCCATTGTTGTATTTAATGGATTTGGTCTCTAACCTGCATCTTAACCATTATTGTATTTCTTAAAATATAAAATTACTTTTTCTAATCGCTATTTAATTTTTGGTTAAAATACATTAACTTCTTTAAGTTTTGATAATAATTCCATATAAGTTCATTAGTTTCCAAAATGTTTTGTCTATCCCAAAAAAATATTTTTCGTTGAACATATAAGTCTAGCCACTAATCAACCATTAATGTTTCTGTTAGTTTGATGACGTAGTAAATTTTTTTGAATAATTTTTTTTTTTATTAATTTTAAAAATTACCACACTATATAAATTATAATTTTTTATTTTAAAAATTCCTTTCTCTCCTATTCAAAAAAAAATCTCTTTACCTATCTCTTGTTGGTTGGCCACCATGTGGCTGGATTTGATCAAAAAGCGGCAAATCCAACTACTCAAATCTCATGCACGCGCCCTAGGGGAGCACAGATTGATGTTCCTTGAGTGCGTGGTCAAATCGCACTTTTTGTGAGAAGATGCGGTCAAATTTGACATTTCACGATCAGATTTGATTATGGGTGGACAGTCGATGTAATGGAGCGTTACTGGTCAACTAGTGTGAAAAACAAATTATAAAAAGAGGGGAAGTTAGTTAGACATTCTATGTTTATTTGTTAATGTCATTTACACGTTTGGGATAAATTGTATATTTTAAAAATTAATAAATTTACATAAAATTATAGGTAAAACTTAAAGAAGTTAATGTATTTTACCCTTAATTTTTTCTTGTTGTTATAGGTAGAATTGCTTTTTATGAGCTAATATTTCGGATGTTCTAGATCCCATAAGTTGTTTTTATTTTTAATTTTTTGTTGATGCCCATTAAAATTTCATGATATAAGGTTCCTTTCAATTTATGGTCTTGTACTTACGTTTATGTCTACTTAAAATATAAGGATTTGTTCTTAAAATAATTTTTGAAAGTAATGCTGATTTCAAATAAAATTTGTTTAAAGCTATTCATAAAACATTTTCGCATTGATCGGAAAATGATGAGGGGCTCATATAAAATCTTCCCGCAAAGCCGAGGCCATGTTAACAACGAATGATTATAACTATTGGGCAAAAAAGAAAAAAAAAAACAAAAAGAATGATTATAACTATCACATGACGCTGACAATTCGTTGGAAGTAGAACACAGATCATGGGGAGAGGTTTTCACATCACGTGGGTTTTTTTCTTCTCCAATCGATGTAGATCTTTCAAAGCCAATGAAACAAAAAGAGATTTGGCCCATTACCCCTAGAAGGTCGAAACAAAGGGGAAAAAAACGGTGGAGCTTTTTCTATTGCATAGACATAAATAAAACCTCTGTTTCCCTCGGGAATTTTGATGTGCAAATGGAAGAATTCGGTATTCCTTGTTTAGAATGAAAAATGAGCTTTGAGTTTGGTATTGAATTGGGCATCTTTAGTAGTTCATTTTGTGACTTGTTCGGTTGAGTAGATGTTTGTGAAGACAAGTTTTGCTGTCACGAATTCGACATTTCATGAACCAAAATAGAAAAAATAAATAATAATAATAAAAATAAAAAGGAGATCTCCATCCATTTTAATACAGATGGAAGAAATATCATCAAATGGAAGTTGGTTATCCAGGGTTTTTGTTTTGGCCTGTTAAATGATTATTCAAGTTTGAGAAAGGAGTATTCAGCTAGCGTAACATCACATGGGCAACAAATTTTCATAAAATGATTGGTCCACCCATTTCACTGGCCAGCACTTAGGACTTAGCTTCGTCACCAAGTATGTTGACCATCCATTCCAATACGTCACATTCCAAATCCTCAACAGTTGAAAACAAACAAAGGAAGAGGATAAAATGAGAAAGAATGTGGACACGAGTGACAAAAATATCTGGACCAAACAGTGGACCCCAGCTGCTCCCTTCGGACCAGTTAGCCACACAACAAAGATCTGATACTGCAAAACCAGCCCTAGTAACTGCCAAGAAACTACCAGACTTAGGTCGGCGCTCCTTTCTTTCTCACATCTCAATTGTTGCAGCGAGCAAGAACAAATGGCCTATAAAAATTTCGTGTCCAAATCAACAACAGTTAACTTTACCGTGGCCGTTGAAGAAAAAGGCGAACCAACCTCCTCCCCCCACCCCACCGCCTTCAAGATTTTTATCGTAACACTTTGTCGGCATAAACCCTTAGAAAAACCCCTCCCAGCTCATGTGTTTCTCTTTAAACCAAAACCCATAGCTCTTTTTGTTTACCTCCAAAAATCAAATGAACCCAGAAGACGAAAAACGCTCCCCCAATTCCCCTCCTAACCCACCCCAAACGTTGCCTTTCCCTTCTCCATTAATGGAATTGGAGACATCTGGAACATCAGCACCAGCAGAAACGGAGTTTATTGGAGTGCCTCGGCCTTTGGAAATTCTTCAGGGGAATCCAGTACCGCCTTTTCTGTCGAAAACGTTTGATTTAGTCGATGACACGTCGTTGGATCCGATCATCTCTTGGGGTCCGACGGGAGAGAGCTTTGTGGTTTGGGACCCGCTCGAGTTCTCCAGGCTGATACTTCCTCGGAATTTCAAGCACAATAATTTCTCCAGCTTTGTTCGTCAGCTTAATACTTATGTGGGTATTATTGCAATAACACAGCCTACATAAAACCAAAAAAAAAAAAAAAGAAGAATGTTTTTTTTTTTTTCTCTTTTTTGCTTGTTTGTTTGGTTTTTATATGTATTTTTGTTTAAATTTTAAAGGCTTAAACTGTAAATTGAATTCTGTAAATGCAGAAGCGGGATTTGTAAACATTATTGTAACATTGTAAATTATGAAAATGTTGTACATAATTTTGTAATTGAAAAAAGGGGTTAATGAAATTCATTGTTTTGATTTAAAGCGCTTTGAAAATTTTGTATACATATAATTTTTATGGTTTTGTTGTACAGGTAAATTGTGGCATTGAGCTGTTCATGTTATGTTCCCTTGAGCTTTTGTACTCTAATGTGTTTATTTGTACTGAGATCTCTTGTAAAATTTATCTGTTGAATTGGATGTATGTTAAATTTGGGAATTCTTTTGAGTGTAAATGTGTAATTAAAATGGAGATTTTTAAAAGAATGGTTAAGCTTGTTCGAGGTCAGCTCACTTCGTTCTGCTGAATATCTGCTGGATATGGGAGTTCATTTTAAACAGGTAGAAATTTGGGTTCTGGTGGAATATTTGTTTTTGTACTATTTTGTTAGAACTTGAGTTTACATTCACAGTCTGTAATTGTCTAACAATTTCTTATTTTTTTTTTTAGAAGAGAGCTGATGTCATGACTCATGATAGCCAGATCATCTATATAGTGCAATCTAGCTCCTGATATCTGAAAATTGACGGCTTTAAATTCACTTATGTGGATCATAACCTTGATATTTTTGGTTTTCTGAACAATCCTGTTTTCCCCCATTCATTCTTGAATCATTTTGGATATTGTTTCAGGGGTTTCGCAAAATTGATACTGATAAGTGGGAATTTGCCAATGAAGCTTTTCAGCGAGGGAGGAGGCATCTTTTAAAGAACATTCAGAGGCGTAAGTCACCTCAATCACAACAGGTTGGTAACTATTTTCGAGCTTCTACTGAAGCTGAAAGGTCTGGATTGGAAGGCGAAATAGAAAGGTTGAGGAAGGAGAAGAGTGTGATGATGCAGGAAGTAGTGGATCTGCAGCAGCGGCACCAGGGTACAGCTCGAGATGTGGAAGTAGTGAATCGGAGGCTTCAAGCAGCAGAAAAAAGGCAGAAGCAAATGGTTTCATTCTTAGCGAAGTTATTTCAGAATCCTGCTTTCTTAGCACGCCTTAAACAAAAGAAGGAACAGGGAGAATTTGGTTCTCTAAGGATGAGGAGGAAGTTTGTCAGGCACCAGCAGCTTGAACTGGTCAATTCAGAACCACCTGTTGAAGGGCAGCTTGCAGAGTACAAACCTGATTGGAGGAACCTTGCTATATCCTCTTTAGCCACAGACTCAAATCCAATTTCTGTTGAACAATCTCCAGATTATCTACCTGAAGGTATAGAAGGAATTGATTTAGGTGCAGAATGCTTGCCATTTCAAATTGATAATGAAATAGTTGTGTCTGATGAGTTAGCAGTTGCGGATGGATATATTAGAACCTTGGAGCTTGTTGGAGAGGGTACATCAGCCTTGGGAAGCAAAGATTCCCATTTCAAAGGGAAGAACATAATCGGCTCAGAACAAGAGGTTAATCCAGGGTATTTAGTCTCTTTCCCAGAGGAATTGGTGAAGCATAAGAGCTCCTCAGAGTTCTCTTCTTCTATTGGTGAAATTGTTGCTAAACAAGAGGATATATGGAGCATGGGTTTTGATGCCACTGCTGGTATGTCTAGTTCTAGCAATGAGTTATGGGGTAATCTTGAAAGCTATGACATTCCAGAGTTGGGAGTGACTGGCGAGTTATCTGATGTCTGGGATCTGGGATTTGTACAAACAGCTGAGGATTCAGGCACTGATAAATGGCCAACTGAGGAATCTCCTTGTGATAATCCGGAGACTGAGAGTCTAGCTGGCCAGCCAGAAGATAATAGGTCTAAGAAGACTGATTAATAAGAGGGTTCATTTGCTTTGGCAGATGATGCCTTTGTGGATCATAATTATTTTCAGTTACTAGGATGAAGGGTCTTTTGGACAATTGATTTATGAACATATTAAGTGAATGCAGATTCTTTTTTCTAATATATATTATTAGCAGTACAGGTTTCTGTTCTTTTTTTTTCTTGAGTTTTGATTGGGAGGCGTGGTAGTATCTGTTATAAGCTAACTCTTGTGAATCGATTTTTTTATGTTGCTGTGCTATATAAGGGGTTGCACTTGAAAATGCAGGTTTTCCCACTTAAAGATACGTTTGAGTTATATCACTGCAGGTTGAGTTGAAGTATTACTCATCCATATGGTTTGGTGGCATATTCTTAATCCCCTATCTGGCAGGACTGGCTTGTGAATGTCCGGTAAGAAATGACATCTTGATTATTGTTTTTCTGTGGTTGCATTATTGTCAGTCACTTGCATGACTTCAGAACTTGATTGACAATTTCACCATGGGTGTAGGGTTTGCTTCATTTGTTGGTATGTATATATTCTTTTAAACCATTTGTAACTGGCTATTTATGCGATTGTTTATGACTGTTAGATAGATATCCTGAGTAACCTTGTATTTGTGTACTTGGCATCTAATCTAGTGTATTTGAATAATTAGTTGAAGAATTCAGAAGCCTCAGGAAGTAGTGTAATTCTCAGAGAAATTTGATGCGTGCCTGGTCCTCAATATGTGTATCGGCAGATTGTAAATGTTAGGAATGTTTTAATATTTTGTCACTTTGCTTTCGGCTAATCAAAATGTTGAGTTATGTGCTTCCATTGGTGCCATATCTGCATGTTTGTTTTAGAAGTCATCACTTATGTAAAAATCCTCTACAAGCCATATCGTATTCCTATAGATGCAGGTTGTCGAGCTGTGATGAACAGGGTCAGAGGGATCAACTATTGATGAACGATCTCCAGCAACATTCGCAACTGCTACAATTTTCTTGCTTTTATAAATTCTGTGCCAGATGTTGGGATTAAGAGTACCCATGGTCTGGTACAAGGGCTACCATATATATATATATATTTACTTCTTTTGGTTTGGATAAGTGGTAGAAAGGCAATGGTTTCTTCCGTCGGTAACGGATTATTACAACCATTGCACTTCCTCTGTACCGTGAATTTTCAGTAAGTTTCCTATGCATATCTTTTGCCAAATATTCCAATGCAGTTCAAGAATCGAAATTGTACAAAAACTAATGCAGCATTGGCCGCAGTTTTGCTACTGCCCAAGAGAAATGTAAAATAGAGGAAACTTTCACTTTCTTTATTTCAAAATTGGATGACTCATGGGCAAAATACTTGCTACAGCTTTTCTTTTCTTTTCTTTTTTTTTCAGAATATGTAAGGTTGAACTAAATGTAACAATCCAACATAAACGCCTAAACATATTTAATAGGTTACATAATTGAAACAGCGACGGGTGAAAATGTCAGCTTCCAATATCTACCCCATTCATTACATTTGATTTCACTTTGGAGAACTGAAGGCCACAGAGCAAAAATATGGCAGGCAACGAGTTTAAGATAGGAAAGTCAAAGGAATAGCACACATCAGAAGGGCTACTCAGACTCTTCCTTCTGCCTTTTTGAGGCACGCTCATTAGCCTCTTTCTTCTTAGCTTCACGGCGCTCTCTCTTCACACCCTTGGCTTTGTTAGGCAAAGCCATATCTCCAATCTATTAGCAACAAGTATCATTCAAATGAAAATTGGCCAAAAGTTAGGGGGAAAAAACATGTAAGATTGACATATTTAGCCTTAAACAATTGTTTTCTTACCTTCTGATCAGGAATATAGATCTTCCCAATCGTCCCTTGTACAGCATCTGAGCTAACATTTTTGATCTGTGAAGCAACAAAAAAGGTTCATTTAACTGAAACAACTCATTGTAAAGCAGGGTAGAGTTACTGGGCATATTCACTGTACCTTCTTCTTAGGCTGATCTTTAGCTGTTTTCATAGCTTCTTTCCTCAAGCCTTCATTTGGAAGGCGATGACGCCGAACCACCAAATCCATGGAGGGGCCTACTTCTACCAGTTCCATCCTTGGAACTACAGTGCCAGACTTTTTCAGCCGCAATGCACAATGTGTAAGGTATACCTTATTTGAAGATATTGCTGTACATACATAAGCACGGTCCAACCCAGCAAGATTTATATTCTCCACAACCTGCATTAAGAGAAAAGATGTCCATATGAAAATTCTTTCTATAAATAGAAAAAAAATTAAGTGCAAAAAGCTGCAGACACACCTCTCCCCGCAAAAGATCGAGCAAAACTTCCTTCAAATGTTTCAGCTCATCTACATTCTCAAATCCTTCTCCAACAAAAGCAATGAAAGGCTTTGATCCCATCAGTGGAGCTAGTTTCTTGTCATAAGTGAATGATTCAATGGATTTAAAATTTTCAACCCCAACCTCTACAAGATCATAAATATGGTGATCATATGTTCGCCCTATAACAAGATTGTTGGGTCGCTTCTTTGAGTGTGAACCATACTGCAAGCACAAGGAAAATAACCACAAAGATGATTACAAAACTGCTAGCATAAAATGTAATTATGTAAGTGGGAGGGCATATCCTTAACAATAGTTAAAGTCGTACACGGTCACTAACTTATACCTTTATCCCACTCTGCTCACTGAACCTCAATTTGTTCCCATTTGGTCACTAAACTTTTTAAATTGTACCCAATATGGTCACTTTAACAGATTCAGTTGAAATTAATGAAAAAAGAAAAATGACATAGTAACCATTGAAGTAGTCATGTTATTAAAAAATCTATGAAAAGATCTCCCCTTTTTTTGTCTTTATCAGTTTCTTTTATTTATTCATTATTTTCTTAGATTTCCCCATTCTAACAAAACTAGGAAACAAAAATGACGAGAAAGAAAAATGGATCACAAAAGTCAACATGAATTTTTTTAAACGATGAACTAGTTTAACTAGCTATTATATCACTATTTTGGATAAAATTACTTATGATGACCACCTTTAGCACACTCTAAAAAGTTCAGTGACCTAACTGGGACGAACTAAAATTCAGTAAGCAAAATTGGAAAAAGGTAGAACTTTAGTTATCATTTATGAAATTTACTTGTAAACTCAATGAAAACAAGGAGGGATCATAAAAATAATTTCTCAAATGGCCACAACCAATTGAGCAATGAGAGGCATTGATGTTTTAAAATCTCAGCTTGAAACAAATGAGGAGTTAGACATACTTCATAACTAGGCTTAACACGAAGGTAAAATCCTGATGATCAATAGAGTCCTTCAAAATACTTTCTTTAACAAGAACCAAATTTACCATTTCTCAAGCTGACATAATAAATTTATAACATCAGCTACTTTAAAAGAGCGCAAACAGTAGAAATCAACAGAAAAGAAAAAAACAAAATGAAGCCGCGGTGTTTATTACTCACAACAAAAATGCTGCAATCAGTTTTGAGAGAAAAGAACTCCAAAGAAGTTTCACCCCCACTTTCAAAAGGCCTTATGTTATCATTCTTCCTTGTATATCTCACAACTCCACCTTTCTTCAAATGGCAAATTTCACTCAACACAGCATTCAATGTGCTGCTCGTCTTTGTACCTTGTAGTATCAGCGTCTTCTTCCCCGTTTCAACCTGCCAAATATAATTCCAATAAGAACCCATTATCTACACACACACATATGTTCATTAAAAATTTGAAAGAAATTTTAGAAACTCTTACAAGCTTTGGAGCGCGTTTTTCTAATTCCCTTTTGACTCTGCCTTTCTTGGGAGTTTTAATTCTCATCATGATTGCCTGAAACAATAGAGACGCAAATAAAGATAAAAAGTTTTATCTGAAAAAAACTTGGATTTAATATAAAATTTTAAACAACGGGGAGCGGAAGAACTGGTAACGCACAACAGAGTAAAGCGGAGGCAAAGGGACGTGGTGCTGGTTATGGTGATGCTAGGGTTTTTGCTTACAGTTAGGTTGTTGAAGTTGGGGTTTTAGATTTTTGTCCGTGAAACTATGGGCTTTTGATTGGGCATTGTTGTGAGATTTATGTCCAATTGCTGGGTTGGGTTTGGGTTCTCTCTTTTAATTTTAAGGGACGGCCCACGGCTCAGCAACGCTCACCATACAATCCTTTCCTTTTTCCGATCGTCCTCTCCATTATTAAAACGCCCGAACTGGCCATGTAACATTTTAGCCTCCTAACCTTCAAAATTTACATCTAACCCTTGACCCTCCCCTTTGATGTTCTCCGTTCGACATCGCTCCCTCTCTCGCTTCACACTCTGTCTCTTCACCCCCTCTCACTTTAAAAACCCCCCCCATCCAAACAATCCCTAATTCCCTCTCTTTCATTTTCTTGCTGTTGGAAACTCTCAGCTCCATCTTTACAGATTAATTAAAATTCGTTTTCTGTACATCATTAGACTTAGGGTTTTATTCTTTGCTATCCTTGTACAATAGGGTTTTTCTTGTTTTTAATTTTCGATTTGGATTTCTTTTTGTATTCTTTCAGTTCTTTTTTCTTTTACTACTTTGGATTTGATGTAAATGAAAAAAAAAACGAGTGGTTACTGGTTATTGATTTAGGGATTTAGGAATTTAGGGTTTAGATTTGCTTATATGTTAATCAATATGGAGAATCAGCGTAGATCATTTGATAGATCAAGAGAACTCGGTTTAAAAAAACCGCGGTTAACCGAAGACCTCGCTCCAAACCCTAACGGTCGGCCCTTTCCTCAACGGCCTAACCCAGTTGGTGCTGCCTCTGCTTTAAGATACCGGTCCAGTGATTCCGAGACCAGTGATTTGAGCCGCGGCGGCGGAGCTTACGAGCCACAACCAGTGCCACATCAGCAGCAACAGCAGCAACAGCAGCAGCACCAAGAGTTAGTTAGCCAGTACAAGACGGCGTTAGCTGAGCTGACTTTTAACTCAAAACCGATTATAACTAACTTGACGATAATCGCTGGTGAGAATCTTCACGCCGCCAAGGCGATTGCTTCTACTGTCTGCGCCAACATTCTTGAGGTGAACTCAGTTTTAGCTGTGCCTTATGCGTTAAAAGTTTTACCTTTTGTTTGAAATTAAATTGTACATCGAAATAAATTTGTGTGCTTCTATACTGTGGGAAGAACAAAGGAAAAGAAAAGAGGAAAAGATAAGTTGGATTGTAAGTGTAAATTGGATTAATGGATTCCTTTTAGTTTTGCAGTAATCAATATGTGTCTTCAATGTGGATTTGTTAAAATGTTTTGTATAGTTGTTTCGAGTTCAGATTTTATATTACCGTATCAGGTGGTGAGAGTACAAAGATGATGGTAAACTGTTGGGTGAATCTTCTTTATTGACAACCACAGTGTGAGAGATGCTAATGATGTGATGCGATTGCTTCCTCTATAGTCTACACAATTACAACCAAAGGCCTTGCTGCCTGCAAAATTAATGGTTTCTTGGATGTGCATGCTAATTTTCCGTGGATCTAATATGTTTCTAAATGCCCCACAATTTGTAAACAGCCAGCTACTTGATCATAGAGATGGGAAATTTTTTACAATAACGGAATGTCAAGAGAGCCAATATCTTCTGAATTTTACAATTTCATGGAAAATGAATTGTGTTGGGTTTGGAATCTGATAAAGCCATTATACATTTGCAGTTGGGTTTTTCACAGCAATATCCTTGTATGCTGTACTCTTTTGTTCATCTCTATTTCCTTTTTACCTTCTTAAGTGAGTGTAGCAATTTCCTACTTACGTGTAATCATCTCTTTCTAGCAATTCTTTTGTTATGCTCAAATCATATTTGGATGCTGATATGAAGAAATAGAATTACAAATGTTAAGGCCCTGTTAAGTTCTTTAGTTGAGTCTGTTGTTGCTTCCTGCACTCATGGGTTTCCAATCGGCAAGTGGTGAAGATCAGCTATCAAAGATTAAATGGTGCCTCAGATGTGAATTGCCTGGATCCAAAAGAATGCGTACTTTGAGATGGAGCTAATGTAAAAGGCTGCAACCAGGTAGAAAGTGAAGAAAACAAGGGAAGAAGATGAAATTGTGAACAGATATGACAAAGTCAGGTTCTAAGGGAAGCGCAATTGAACACTTAGGCTGATGAAGTTAAAAGGCTGCTATTTTTGGTACCAAGGATGCATTTGAAAACTTTGTTTACTGATGAAATATCTTCACAGTGAAACCTTTATCTTGTTTATGCAGAGAATGAAAGCTTTGGTTCATTTTATATTTTCTGTTTGCAATCCTTATTCCTCCTTCTCCTTGCTGTCTTTTCATTACAACATTGCTGGTATTATGGATGTGGTTAATATTTTGAAGAAGAATTAGTCCAATGAAGGTGTGCTTTTGTGGTTTGTGAGCTGATAAAAAAAATGACTTTGCAGGTTCCCAGTGACCAAAAGCTGCCATCACTTTATCTTTTAGACAGTATTGTAAAGAATATTGGGAGAGATTACATTAAATATTTCGCTGCCAGGTTACCTGAGGTTAGATTTTCATTCTTTTTCTGGCTCCATCGCCGCTTTGTGTGAAAAACTGCAGAAGACTATTTTACCAATGAAATTCTTATCATTTAACATATATATCCTTCCTTGTCACCTTTATGTGCTCAAAGTCTCAAACTCTTTCAAATGCTGAAACATTCTTTTTTGTTTATCTAGAATGTGTTGACGGTCACATTGCAAGTGTAATAATTCTACCATTTTGACTGCTGGTTTTAGGTGTTCTGCAAAGCATATAGGCAAGTTGATCCTCCTGTGCATCAGAGTATGCGTCATCTTTTTGGAACATGGAAAGGGGTATTCCCCCCTCAGCCTCTCCAAATGATTGAAAAGGAACTTGGATTTGCGCCTATGATAAATGGTTCATCTTCAGGAACCACAACATCTAGACCTGATCCACTGTCACAGCGTCCACCACAGAGCATTCATGTAAATCCGAAGTATCTAGAGAAACAGCGTCTTCAACAGTCAAGCAGGGTAAATTGTACAGTCTTCTTTTCCTTTTTTGATATGCTGTCTGTTGGATTTTATACAGTATATTTGTGAAGCATTTATGGAGGTTGGAGGTCTGCTCATGTTTAAGAAATGAGCATTTTAAGTGCTTTTTCTCAATCATTTTTTGTTTTTTTTTATTTCACCTTCAATCTTTTAGGATTTATATCCAAAATTGAGAATTTCTCTATATCATTCCTTTGTAGTTCTTCAAATGGAAGCATCTATGTCAATGCCACCGTTGCCAAGTTTTTTCTTCCTTCTCATAATCATCGACTTCTTACATCTATCTGTGTGAAGTGATAAATTCAGATCTTAATGCTTGTATTATAAGGGCTTTTCTGTTGATTTGGTTTTTATGTGTTGAAGGTAAAAGGTATGGTCAATGATATGACTGAGACTTTGTCCAGTTCAAAGGAGGATTCTGAGAGGCCAGATAGAGCAGCCATTACAGCTGGGAGGCCATATATAGATCCTTCTGTTAAAATGAATGTATGTGAAGTGTTTTAAATTTTGTTATAATCTGTTCATCTATTTTCACTCTCTGCTGATATTTTAAAATTGTCAGAACATTCAGCGTTCTCATAGAGACATGTTTAATGAGCCTGTTCGTGAGAAGAACATTGGTGCTATATTTGGTGATTATGACTATGGCTCTGATCTTTTACAGACTCCTGGCATGGGAGTTGGAAGAAGCGGTGGGAAGGTTACTGATCAAGGGAATGATAGGCCTTGGTATGGAGCTACAAGCAGTGTTACTGAGATGATTTCGAGCCAACGAAATGGTTTCAATATTAAGCATGGATCTCAAAATTACTCAGCATCCAAATCTGTGAATGCTGATCCTCGTTTACAGGCAACTAAGAACGTTGCTGGTAGAAGCAGTAGTGGATTGTCTAGCAGCTGGAAAAACTCTGAGGAAGAAGAGTTTATGTGGGAGATGCACTCTAGATTGTCAGAACATGATGCAGCCAATATCTCGAATAACTCGAGGAAAGATCATCGGACTCCTGATGTTTCAGAAAAGTTGGTAAGCTTGCAAGAAAAGGACTTTGGATTAAATTTTATTAATAATTTGTTTGGCTGGAAACATTTACATTATGTATGTTTATACCCTTTAGTCTTTTGGTACCCTATAGTGTTTATATCTTGTGTGAGGTATACTGTCTAGGACTTAAGATTAACTGCAGTCATCAATATTTATATGAAAATGTAAATATAATAATGCATTATTGGAGTCTGGTTTTGTTAATTGGCAGAGGAACGTTATGGTTGTTTCGATTGTTTTATCTTTTTGCTTTTCTAGTTTTCTTCATTTCATTGCTCTAGGAGTTTATTTTCTATAGTATTTATAATTATCTGGGTTACGTTCTCAATGGCAGGATTTTGAAAGTCAGCTCCGCAAAGCACAAAGTGTTCATGATGTGGGGTCAAGGTTTGATAGAGAAAGAGAAACTACTGTTGATTCATTATCCACTGAGCAGAAGGACAAAAGTTCTTATGGGCGCAGGATTTCATCTGCATGGCCATTGCCAGAGTCAAATAAAACAGATGGATTGCCCGCTAATAATTTGGGCCATTCTGAGAGCTATTCTGCCACTGTTGGTGGGTTGCCTACAGGTGCAAGTTCTTCCCTGGCCAGGATAGGAATGCGACCACAAAAGATTTTGGCAAATGTAGCATCAGGATCCACTAGTACTTCAGGACAGCAGCGTTTTCAGCCCCTGGGAACTGCATCACCACCTGAACAGTCTCCTATGCGCCAGCATTCACCTTCACCGTCATTTCCTGGACGCCATCCCCATCAGCAGTTACAGAAATTGGCTGAGCAAGACCATCCACAAGCTCATTCCCTGCCTCATACTGATCCAAAACCATCCCATTTTTCAGGAAAGTTGAATGTTGGATCTCATAAACACTCTTCTCAGGCTTCATCTGCTTTGATTTCTTCATATCAACCAAGCCGTCATTATCCCTTTGCACAACCACCACAACCAGACTCTGTGCAGGCTGAACCTTCTAATCAGACTCAGAAGCCACTTCTGTCTCAGATCTCCAAAGTAGGAGCAGCCTCAACACTGGGAAATGCATCAGAGCAAGCCAATCCACTTGCTATTGGAACTTCAGAACTGTCAAATACAAGTAGTCTATTGGCTGCTGTCATGAAGAGTGGAATCCTCTCCAGCAATTCATTTACCAGCAGCCTTCCAAATAAGATTTCTCAAGATGTGGGGCAGATTCCATCACAGCCTCCTCTTCCAAATGGGCCTCCGCCTGCTGTTTTCACATCCTCAGGCCTGAGGGTTCATTCTGGGACTTCATCAGGTTCTGCTTCCCACGATGCATTAGCAGCTACTACAAATAGTTCTCAGGGAAAAGTAGAACAGCCGCCACTGCCTCCTGGGCCACCACCACCTTCTCTTGTTAGTAATGCCCCGGCACAAACATCAGATGCAGAAAGCAAGGCTTCAAACCCAATATCCAACCTTTTGAGCTCATTAGTTGCGAAAGGTTTGATATCTGCATCAAAGAAGGATGCTTCATCTCTCTTGACTCATCAGATGCCTACTCAAATGCAGGAGAGCATGGGAATGGAGAGGCATACTCAAATGCGGAAGGAGAGCCTGGGAATGGAGAGACCGACTGAATCACTGAACAAGAGCTTGGGCATTTCTACCAGTAGCCCTTTGCCAGCGTCTTCCATTCCAAGTTCATCGGATGCTCCTAGTTCCTCTACCATGGATGAGGTATCATTTGCTGAACCTGCTACAAAAAGTTCAGTTGCCTCACATCAGTCCGCTGCAATGGAAGTAGAAAACCTGATAGGATTAGAATTCAGGCCAGATGTAATCAGAGAATTTCATTCATCTGTGATCAGTAAATTATTGGATGACCTTCCTCAGTGTTGCAGCTTATGTGGTCTTCGACTTAAACTTCAGGAGCGGCTTGATAGACACTTAGAGTGGCATGCCATGAAAAAGACTGAATCAGAAGGTTCTAATAGGGCTTTGAGGGGATGGTATGCAAGATCAGATGATTGGATTGCTGGAAAGCCAGGGCAATTCATATTTGAATCCACTGGTTCTGTGAACCAGTTGGAAAAGACGACAGAAAAGAGTGAGCTTATGGTTCCTGCTGACGAAAATCAGTATGCATGCATGTTATGTGGTGAGTTATTTGAAGATTATTTTTGCCAGAACAGGGGTGAATGGATGTTTAAGGGAGCAGTATACTTGACTATCCCATCAAAGGATGGTGAGGTAGGAACTACAGATGGGAGTGCAGGCAATGGTCCTATTGTGCATGCAAATTGTATATCAGAAAGTTCAGTTCATGACTTGGGACTGGCTGGTGGCGTTAAATTGGTAAGGTCTCTTGTCTTTTAACATGTTTACCGTACTTTTTTATTAGTTAAAATGTTTCTGCTCTATTGATTCATTTTTCCCTATGTTTTTGTCACCTGATTGTCAGTGTCACTTCTTGTTAGGAAAATGAAGAATAGCGCGTTAAGGTGAAATATCAAGCCATCACTTGCTGTGCCATTATGAGAACTTGATGAAGAATCCAGGTTTACTTTTCCATAGCTTAAATGTTTAATGGCACTTGTATGCTAATTTTGTTGTGCCTTAGAAAGGTGCTGAGAGTGTCACTAGTTGTTTTTGCTCGCATTTTTTTCTTATGTTTTTTTTTTCTTCTTTTCAAAGGTCATAGCCTGATAGAAGTACATATAAATACCAGATAGTTTTTGCCTTAATTTTCGTCGCTAATGGGTTTAATATGTTGCATTATATTTTGTGTTTTGGACTTTGCTGGAGTGGATTTGAAATTGATAAAGGAGAAGGCAATCAGACCATGTCGATTCAGCTTCGAAATTGGCTGTTGGCAAGAGCCTGTTTAACATGGAATGCAATGAAGGCTTTGAAAGAAAAAGAAAAAGAAAAAAGTGAAGAAGAAACAGATCTTTTCTGGTTTATTGTTGTTCCAATTTTTCTCCTTTTTATCAATTTTGACCTGCTGTTTTAAGAGCTGTGGTTTTGACCTTGTGAATTGTGAGCATTGTTCCGCAAGTTGCATTACTTTTAAAGAACATGATTTCCTGTTGACTGGCTAGAGGACAAAATTTTGGAATCTGGTGGCTTCTTATTAGGATCATGCTACTCCTAATAAGACTCTTAACTTTGCAGTATGATTATTTATGTTGAGGCACATGACGTATATTTTTGAACGAATTATGTGAAAGAGTAGGGAGGGCTATAACTTTTTGATCTGGTAAATATATTATCTTAATTTGTAATAATTGATAAAGATAAAATGAAGCTTATTAAATATTGGTTGAGTACGTAAAAAAGGGAATTAAAAGGAAATTATTTTACTTCATCAAATGAGAATCGGAACTGGGAATGAGCTTGCCGCTTAGTCGCCGTAAAACAGGGAAGGGCAGTGTCAGTTTTCTTCCAGTGTTTTTTCTCTCCCTATGCTCTTTCTTTCTCTCTCCTTTTCTTTTCTCCATTGTACTCTTGGACAAATTTGGGTAAGACAAATTTGCGTAGGTACAAAGACAAACTACAGTAACTTCTTAGTATAGGAATGAAGAAAGGAAGCGTTTAACTATGCTGGGGCTTTTTTGTGTTGCTATCGTTATCAGTAGAAAACCGTATTCGACCAATTTGCTACACTTGACAGATACCCTTCCCATCACTGGACTGAGGTCACGGACCTCGATCTCTCCATTATTGCAATTCGTTGATGCTTTTGTGTTTGACTGATAAGGATGACGAATATCATCTTTCATGCTTTTACACCATTAATTAACCCCAAATTCCGTCACACAAGAAAATTCTGTTGCCTCTGGCTTTCTAGGAATTAAGCTCACTTCACTTGCACGCTTCAAAGCAGGGAGAAAATATTTTATCTTTTCTTCTTCCAAGCAGGATCTTTTCATGCAATGAAAAGCATTTATACTTTGCCCTTTCCTTTAATTTTCATCGCGGTTCACATAATATTCAACAAGCAAACTTGAAACAGATGAAATTACTATTAATCATTCCTTGCATTCATATAGTTTACTAATCACTATGGTTATATATAAGAGTAGTTGTTACATTCTTTTTCTTTCTTGGCCCTGGCCCTTGGGTGATAGTTACATACAACTTTATAACTAAACACAACTTTTCTCTTGATTGAGCATAAAAGTACACACTATAATATTCCTTGTATGGATTATTTTATCTAAGGCTTATGATGTTGAGTGTAAATGTAATCGAGATGAGCTTCTGCAATCATCCTCCTTTTCAGACATTCCTCATCTTTCTCATAACACTCTTCTGATCCCATCAACTGCACCCCATATCAACACAAATCAGCCCATATATAAATAAATAAATATATATATATATATATATATAAGAAGAACAAACAGAGATTTTACTTGAAAGAGGGTGGGTGAACAAAGACAAGAAACGATGGAATTCTTACGTTTGAGAAATCTTCTTTGACATCTGTAGCCAATAAACCAGCTTGATTGATCTGGTTAGCTTTAAGCTCCTTCTCACCTGTAAAATAATTTTACAAGTTGGCACATCTTTTAGACCAAACCATGAAGGCCAACAGAGAAAAGAAATAAAAAAGAGTCAAAGCGGTTTTTGTCAATAACCCACCTTGTTTCTGTGCCAGGAGACGAGCAGAGGTTGAGTAGGAGCAAAGAAGAAAAGCAAAGAGCAGAAAGGTGATAAGCCCAAGAAACTTTTCTTTCATTTCTTTGACTCGTATTTTCTTTCCTTTTTCTTTTTGTTTAAAGACAGAAGGAAGAGAGAGAGAGAGAGAGGTAGAAGACAGGAAATATGAATGAAGCAGAGTGGAGGAAGGCTACTCTGTATAAATAGCAGCAGAGACACGGAGAGATGCTTGTTTGCTGCTGCTGTGAGCTGATCTTTTAAGTCACATGTAGATCCTTAACACGGCAGTTACAACTCTCAACAGAGTTAGTGGCGCCCACACCGCCCCAACTTTTAATTTGCAATCTTTTTCTCTTTAAGGGTTATTTATTAAATGGAAAAAAATAAAAATAAATTTGTCCTTTGCTTGCATTTAGACTGCAAAATAAAATCATGGTTTGGTTTCGAGTAGTATGAGTTTTTAAAATTGGATCATCTATCTTAGGAATGGATAGGTCAAGAGTGTTATGAATGCATATTTTATGTACATGACATGCATACATAAATCCCTTTGCACTTAACAGTTCATATATAGGATAAATGGTGCTTAAAGGTACGAAGACTTTGAAATGTAGGGTTAAAATACGCCTAACAATGCTCATTATCAAAGTATCATCATGTGGGAATGAAGACTAGGAAGGGCACCAAAGGCCACGGAATTGTATGCAAGTGGCTGTTGTTTCCCATTGCCCAATTTGGTGGTGGTGATGGTGGTGGTGGTGGGGACCCAATTCTCCAAAATCACCTTCAAGTTGTGAACAAGAAGACTAAGAAGAAATGAAGTATAGTTTTTGTTTTCTACAAAGGAAAAAGGGATTTGGGCTCAATTATTTTCTTTATCATTTTTTTTAAAAAAAATTTTTGTGTGGAAAACCAAGTAGAAGGTGATAGAATAAGACCTACCAAAGCGTCAACAAGTCAATCTGTGGACTATAATACTGCTACTTACCCATTACTTGGCCGACAGCTGTTTCCCATTTGTACCATGTTTGACACTTTCCTTGAGTTACACGCACGTGATAACGTTTTCACTACTTTTTTCAGGCTTAATTTATAGATTAATTCATAGTAGTTTAATGCTTTATTTAATCACAATAATTTCATTTCATGTTTTCTTTCAACAAAAATAGGGAGATGTTAACCGTGAGAAAGAATATTTGCCGCTGTCGAATTGATGTTCAATTCTGAATTAAAGGAAGGGGGAAGAAAAAAACCATTTCGCTCTACACTAGTATGATAATCATTTTGTAAGATCTCAAAGATGTAATTTAGTACTATAATCCTAGGACTATGTCATCTTGCTATGTATTCCAAAGAGGTAATGTTGTATAATTCCACTAGCATTCCTTGACTCCAATTAGACTTAATATAGAGCTTTAATTTCCTTGCTAAAACAGATAACTAACAAGATATAGGTCAATAGGCTTAGCTTCACCAACTCCCCAGATATATATGAAGTATAAGATTATTAGTAGATAATGCTATGTAACTTTCATTATCGTCCTTAAAGTCAAGAAAACAATATTAAACTACAATATATTTCAATGCATGTTTGTTTAAATTTTAATTACTTTTAGCAGACCAATCTGTGGAAAAGAAAGAGACCAAAGTCCAAGTCTCCTCTTGAAGCCAAATTCTAAATTTGGGATGAAGTTTTATATGTTTTCTTTGAGTAAAGACACCGGGAAAAGAAGAAACAATAATTTATAGTGTGATTTAAATATTAACTTAATTTAATACTGTTGTTTAATAAGGTGGGCTCTCTAACATGTTTATTTTTTCTTGAAATTGCAAAAAGGAAAGGTGACACTAGGTGAGTGATAATTTGGGGTCATTGCTTTGTAAGCCCCATTGCGAAGAAATCAGACAGCCTAAAGCCTAAGTTTCAACGACACAAAATCAGAAAAAGGGAGACTCTAGGAATGGAAACATGACAACCCACTCACGAGGATTATATTCATATTAATTCTTTTCGAAATTACGTATGTGAATATCTTGTTCTTGAAAATGCTGTAATAATAGGTATGAATCCAAGAACTTGTTGCAATCTGAAACCCAAAAGTTCTAAAGTTTTTCAAGGTGAAAGTGAAGGGAGAGATTACAAGTCAATCCTGGGATTCAATCCATAAATTAAAGCCACACATAATCAGTGAATTGAAAAGCTAAAAAGGAAAAGGCAAAGAGAGAGATTGGAAAGTGACAAAGGAGATGGTAAATATCAATGTAGGAAGAATAGTGGAGTATTGGAGTCTGACCACGCCTGCTGCCATTTGGATCATTACATGTGATGCAAAACCTAAGGTTGCCAACACAATCGAGGGCCTACTCGTCCTTTACTGAATTTCATGATTCCAAATTAAAACCCCGTGCAATGCCTTTCAATGTTTGAAATTTGGCTTCAATAATTGAACTGCCAAAGGTACAGTCGAGTAACTGTGTGAAAGCTATCACTTTGTTTGATGCTTTAAACGAGTTGAAAATCTAGAACGATAAGCTACAAATGGTCGAAGTTCTGCTAGAAAAGAAAAGGAAAAAAAAAAAAAGAAAAGGGAAAGAATACTTGGGAATTGACGTTTTGGTGGAAAGTGGAGGTTTTTCAATGAAAGAGAAAATGTTGATCACCCCACTTATCAATTTCGGGCTTTTGCTTTATCCTTGTCTTGCGTTCATCACCCCCAACATTGATGTTTGGAATCTATAAAAGAGAGCACGTTCTAACTCAGGTCAGAAGAAATTATGGGGGATCCGTATTGCACATATTTTTTCTCTTCTTTTCCTTTCTCCATCCTTTCATGTGAATAAATTGATGCATACATGCACTACTCTTATATCACATAAATAAAAGATATTATTGACCAACAAATTTCTAATAATCTTAAAGAGTTGTATCCATCAATGGTAATGGTTTAACTACACCTTTAATTAAAACGATACTTGAAAGTTCTTTGCTATGGATTATTTGATATAAAAAAGGTCCTTTCATCTTAGTTGTAATATTTTTCTAACGTCAACTTTATAACAATCGCATTAAATGTCAAATTTGTTTAGTTTTTAATTTATTGAGAATTACCCTGGAAAACAATAATGAGTTTATATACATGACTTTGGTTATCGAGAAGAATATTAAAATTTTGAAATTCACAATATTAATATAAAACATAAAATATTTTATTCTTTGAATATAATTTTTTTAAAAAAAAAATTAATTCTTGAATAGATTTCTCATGAATATTTATCACAAAATGATGAAATGATGATGAATGAGTTAGGATTGATTTGTCATTGACTTTATTTTAGAATGGACAAAATTCCTTTTGACGATCGAGTATGAGAAGCATCAACATCCATCAATATGCAGACTAATAAGAGTTGAACGTTGAGCTACGGAACATCAAATTCTAGTTCAGCTAAAACATCAATGAATGAAGACATTTATCGGAAAAAAATTTTTTTTTTTTGACTGGTGCATGTAGAAATTGCACTTTGCCTTTAGAGCTTTCTTACTAATTTGAAAAAAAAAAAATCAATATGTAATCGACAAAAAAACTTTGAGGGACCTTAGATTGAAATTTAGGGCTTTGCATATCTTTCATGCATGGAATTTGAAACAAGAATTTTTGTACCAAAGTACAGCATCTCGATTGCTGCAGCCGAATTGGATTTTAGTGAAAGAGAGGGATTTGGTTAGCTTTAACCAAATGTTTTATCATTCCTCACCTAATCTACTTTTTGAATCCTTATGACTTGTGACATATGACATATCCTCTCTCTCTCTGTTTTACACTTTCTCCATCTCTTTTCTTGTTTCTAAATTTCTTTTGTAATAGAATTTATTATTAGTAAGATCTTTGAAGCAGGCATATTTTTTCAAGTTGAAGGTAGGAACTGGGAATTTAAACTCAAGACTCTTATTATATGAAGCAAAATGTTAAATTGTGCCACCAAAGTGACATGCATGAACTCAAATGACACGTCTCGCGTGCCAGAAGAAGTAAGTATTCATAATTTACTCATGAAAAATGCAATTAAATAATTAATTTTCCTATTCTTTTGCACATAAGTCTATACTTATTGTTATACATGGTGATCATATGTAAGCATATGGAGTATAAAAGGTGATAAGGTAATTATTAATTATAATAAATAAGCAGCTGTTTATCATGTTATACTAATTAAGAAATCATGTAATGGGAGACAACTTTTTGTATTTGAAAAGAAATGCTTTTGAAATGGACTAGACGTGCATGGCATGTTATGCCTCCACCATCCGACACATTTTCTCTATTATTTCATTTCTTTCTTGTATGATTGAGTACTTTGATGAGATTATAAGCTGAATCAAATAAGCAAGAGAGCCTGGCATCTTTTACATACTGTGTATTGTTCCTATATATTCATGGGCACAAAGACAACAACCATAACCTTCTTATAATAAAACAAAGGCCTTTTGTTGAGTGCCCTTCTTGTATGACCTTGAACAGATATAAACACACAAACCTTGAAATTCAAACCTCTGTACATAAATAGATACATACGTATATGTATCTAGGCGTAATGAGTTATTGAGTCATAACTTCTTATTTACTCTTGTTCTTGATACTTATATTGAATCAAATGAACATCTAACTAGCTAGTAAGGGAAGAAAAGGAGAGGAAAAATGATCAGGGATCAAAAAAAGAAAGAGTTGATGACAATTATTTTTAGATGGATTGATTTTCTTCCACTACTCAAAAGAGAAATTTCATTAATTGAACTTTTTTTCAATAGAATAAATATTAATTTCTAATCTAAGCTCTTCCCTTTGCCAACCTGTCTACATGCTCATCAACGACAGCAATCTTTTTACCAAAAAGAAAGTTAGTTGCCAAGGGAATTAACTCCAATGTTGTGTTTTGTTGGATAGTTTGATAATGATAGTATTTGGATTTCTGAAATAAAATATTAATAAGTAATGAATATTTATTATTTTGATTTTCAAATTAAATAATAAATGTTATTTATTAAGAGTGCTTATTAAGGAAAAGTTGTAATTAAAGAGTTATGAATAGTTATTTTATTAAATATAACTCTTTGAATATTTATATTATGAAAGGCCTTTCAAAAATATAGTTATATTGTGAGAGGAAACAATTGCTTGAAAAGTTATAATATAAAAAAAAATCTTTAC